TCTGACCTCAATGGCTTCTCATGAGAAATTTAATATCATTTAAATTTTTTTTCCATTCTAGGTAAAGTGTCATTTCTCTCTGGCTGCTTTCAAGATTTTTCTTTGTCTTTAGTTTTCAGAAGTTTGACTGTGATCTGTCTTGGTATGGATTTCTTTGAGTTACCCTGTTTGGTATTGGATCAGATTCTTGAATCTGTAGATATGTCTTGGCCATATTTGGAAAATTTTTGTCCATATTTACTTGAATACTTTCTGAGCTCCACCTTCTTTCTCCTCTTCCTTTAGAACTCCAATGACTTAAATATTAGATCTTTTAGTCCCACATATTCCTGAGACTCTGTTAATTTTTTTCTCAGCCTATTTTCTTTTTGTTGCTTAAATTGGGCGATTTATATTATACTGTCTTCAAGTTCATTGATTCTTTCCTCTGTCCTCTCCATCCAGTGAGCTTTATAGTTTTGTTTTTTTTTTTAAGTTCTAAAATTGCAACTTAGTTCATCTCTTCTATTTCTTTGCTGAGACCATTTTTATATTTGTTTCAAGTGTGTGTGCAATTGCTCATGGAAGCATTTTTATGCTAGATGCTTTAAAATTTTTATCAGATAATTTCAGCATCTGTGTCATCTTGGTGTTAGCATCTGTTGATTGTCTCTTCTCACTCAAGTTGAGATTTTCCTGGTTCTTGGTAAGAAAAGTTGATTTTCAATCCTGGACATTTTGAGTATTATGTTATGAGACTTTGGATCTTACTTAAATCTTCCATTTTAGCCAGCCTTCTCTGACACCGCACTGATACTGTCAGATGGAGGTTGAAGTTGAGGTTCTCTACTCAGCCTCTGTTGACATCATAGGGGGTTAGGGGGTACTTAGTTACTGCTAGGCCAGGGTAGGATTCATGCTGCGCACTGAGTCTCTGCTGATGAATACATGGCCAGGACAAAGAAGGATGCCTTGTTACTTACTGCTCCCTTTGTGGCCTCCAGTGACTTGGTGGAGGAGCCCATTTCTGCTGGCTGTGGTGAAAATCCGGATTCTCTACACAACCTCCTGTGACGTCACCCTGGCAGGGAGGAGTGGAAGTATAGGGTCCCCATTTGGCTCGGCTGACAGGATGTAGGTAGTATTGCAGTTTTCTCTGTGGCTTGGCTGGAGTAGAGTGGTTATTGTCTAAGTTTTCTTTCTCACTAGGCTGCCCCTTCCTAGTCCTTTGGCTAGAAAGAGCAGGTCACCTTTTTCTTCTTCCCCCTCCTCCCCCTCCTCCTCCTGCCCCTCCTCTTCTTTTTTTTCTTCTTCCACTTCCTCTTTTTTTCCCTCTTCTCCTTTCCCCTCCCTCCTCCCCTCCCTTCTCCTCCTCTTCCTCCATCTTCTTTTTTTGTTTATACCCATTAGTTTCTGGGTTGTCGGCTTCTCCAGTTCTCAGTCTGAAATGTATTGGGCAAAAAGAAAAGCCTAGGAAAACCGCCATGTCATTCTGTGGGTCCCAGGGTACCTAGTCAAACTGTCTTCTTCTCTCTACCTTTCAGAGTCTCCTTATATTTGTTTTATGCATGAAGCCCAGGGCTTTTTGGCTGTACTTAACAGGGGGTAGGGAGATGTATGATTACTCCAAATTGTCCCAGAACCAGAAATTCCTGGGGGCTTGTAGACCTTTTATTCTGCATCATCTGGCAAACAACAGCCAGTGGGGACAACAGTCCTCTGAATTGATGCTGAGCTCCCACCTCCCCCACCTTCCTACCAGCTCAGTGGCCCTGCCTATGTTCGGCTCTGTGACCCTGAATTCACCTTCTAGAATTTGAAATCATTCCAGCCCAGTTTCAACAGGCTTTCTCTAGTTTTCCACCACTTGCTAATTCTCAGCCTCACAGCTCAGAATTCTCTGTTGACCAGAGGCCCAAAGAGGCTGTCCTTGCATAGTTGAGGGGCAGGGGGGTACTCTGTGTCTCCCAGGTATGGCTGCAATGCCATGGTCCCCCTTTTGCTGTGAGGGAAGGCTAAGGAGCCATGGCACGTCTCCCTTTGTCCTGGGTCAGCGGGTCTAGTCTTTCTGACTCAGATGCCATGTAGTTCATGAGAGTACCTTTTAAGTTAAAGAAAGATATTTTGAGTTAGAGAAAATAGTTTAGGAATACTTTTTTAAGTCTCAAAATTAATAATTTTTTAAAAAGCAATTGTCAGAGATGAGATTTTCAGATGTCTGGGAATATGTTATCAAACTCTCCACTTCTCTACTCAGGTAGGAAAAGATTGTTTTCTCTTTCAGACATAAAATCTAATTAATGATTTAAAAATACCTACCTTAGGGAGATGCAGCAAGAGAGACATTTGTCCAGGTGCAGTAGCAACAATGTGTGTACTTTTTAACTTAACTACATTTTCTTTTTATTATGAAAAATGTTTAAACACACAGGAATAGGGAGAAGAAATGAACCTCCAATTTAAAAACTAATATATGGTCACATTTGCTTCATATATCTTTTGTTATTTTTTCTCTTTTACTTAAGTATTTAAAAGCAAATCTCAGACATCATTCATTTTATATCACTATACTTCAGAATTGGTCTCACAAATTTGGACATTTTCTTATGTAACCACAATGCTATTATCACACCTAAAAAAATAGTGACAATTCTTTAGCAGCATCTAATACCCAAATTTCCCCAACTGTCCAAGAATGTCTCTTTTTTTTAGTGATAAGATACATATAACATAAAATTTACCAGCTTAACCATTTTTCAGTTATACAGTTCAGTAAAGTACATTCACATTATTGTACAGCCAATCTCCAGAATGTTTTTCATTGTGCAGAACTGAAACCCTGTACCCATTAAACAACAGTTCTCCACTCTTGCCTCCCTCCTCTAGGCCCTGGAAACCACCATTGTATTTTTTATCTTTATGAATTTGACTATTCTAGATACCTCACATAAGTGGAGTTTTACAGTATTTGTCTTTTTGCAACTGGTTTATTTCATTTAGCATAATGTCCCAAGATTTATCCATGTTGTAGCATATGTCAGAATTTCATTTTTTTTTTTTTTTAACACCTACAGTACCTGGTCTTCCTAGGTGGTCTCCAAGTACTAAACAGGCCCGACCCTGCTTAGCTTCCAAGATCATACAAGATCGGGCACGTTCAAGGTGGCCTGGCCGTAGACCCCAATTTCATCCTTTTTAAAGATGAATAATATTCCATTGTATGGATACACTGCATTTTGCTTATCTCTTCATCTGTCAAGGGATACTTTGGCCATTGTGAATAATGCTGCTATGAATATGGGTGTACAGATATCTCTTTGAAACTCTGCTTTCAATTCTTTTGGATATATACTCGGAAGTGGAATTACTGGATCATGTGGTAATTCTATGTTTAATTTCTTTGAGAAATTGCCATAACCATTTTCCACAGCAACTGTACCATTTTACATTCCCACAAGGGTTCCAGTTTCTCCATATCCTCGCCAATACTTGTTCTTTTCTGTTTGTTTTTTTTTTTTATAGTAGCCATCTGAATGGGTATGACATGGTATCTCATTGTGCTTTTGATTAGCATTTTCCTAATGATTAGTGATGTTGAGCATCTGTTCATATACTTATTAGTCATTTATATATTTACTTTGGAGAAATGTCTATTCAAGTCCCTTGCCCATTTTTTAACTGGGTTGTTTGTTTTTGAGTTATAGTTCTCTTTATATTCTGCATATTAACCTTTACCAGATATATGACCCACGGATATAATTTTATAATTGGTCTGTTTGAACCAGGATCCAATAAAGTCATACTATATTAGTTTATTCGATTGCCTTATATGGAGGAAATCCCTCTCCCTGTTTCTTTCTTGTCATTGGCTAGTGACAGAATCCAGGTCCTTTGTCATATGGACTTGTAGTTTTATATTTAACTTTGCTACTGCCTTCCAAAATTTCCGGCTTTTGCCTTTGATAATTTCAGCAGTGAATTTTTCCTATTGAAAAATAAGGGTTTCTCTATCAAAGATTCTTAGAAGAATAAACCAAAAATGAGAACAGGAAGCTTTCTTGGTATCTGCAAACCCACTTGTGTGGAGGTGGGCCCTGGAGGAAGGTGGGAGGGGTGGAGATCAGATGGGGGTGAGGTGAGCAATTCAGGTTACCAGCCTGGCCCAAATGGAACAGAGGCTTTTCCCATTATGTAACTAATGTTACTTAAAGGACCCCCCTCCCCACCCCACCCCACCCCTTAATGACCAGGAGCAGATCCAAAGACGGTCCCCCCAGCCTTGAGTGGGCCAGGGCAGATACTAGGAGCACTGCTAGTACCATACTGTGGTTCTGTTTCCTAGAGGTCACTGGAGAGGAAAATTCTTCCCCAGAGCTGCCGAGAACACTTGAGCCTTCCTGGGAGTCTCTGAGGGCACAGGGGTAAGGCTGGGGAGCCTCCAGCATCCAGGAAGCTCAGGAGTCAGGACGTGGTAACAGACCATTGAGAGGAAAGCTATGGTCGCTGATGTCTGGGTACTCTAAAAGATTACTAGAGTTATCTCTGGGATTAAGGTTATGGGTGATTTTTTCCTTTATATTTTCCAGATTTTCTTGAATGAACAGTAAAAAAGTGATATGTTCTATTATAAAAATAGATTGACACCTTGAAAATTAATATAGATAGGCCAAGGATGACCATTACTAATAATAACTGAGTTCTCCAGAGATCTGTGGGTGAAATAGAGGTTCTTCAGACTCTCCTCGGAGCCTAGAACAGCCCCTGCCCAGGAGCATGGCACAATCCAGGGAAGAGCAGCTTGGCAGAGGCATGCAGTCTCCCCAGCGTCTGGAGCTGAGGCTATTTCTGGTTCCGCCTGCAGCCCCGCTGAGGCCTGGGACCTGTGAGGAGGGACATTAGCCTTCAGGAAGCCCCTGCCAAACCTACTGGAACCCACCCAGTGGGCCAGTCTTTCTTACCTAGGACAGCCTTAGCCCAGGTTACGTTTCCAAACCCCTTCCAGATACAAATGAAAGCTGCTGTTCCTAAGTAGAAAACTTTTATTATAAACCCAGGATTCAGAAAGAGAAATGGCAAACAGGCATTTCTCGGCTTGCTCTGAAATTCTTACAATGTATATAAAATAGGTGTGAGATACTTTCTTGAAATTGTTTTAAAATATTACCCAATATCAAAGTGGGGGTAGGCACATGGTAACTAAGTGTTTCACCGTGATCACGCAAAGAGGGGCCTCCAGTCCCTCCCCAGACCCTGAGGAGAGGTGCCTCGGGCCAGCTCTGGTTGGAGGTAGAGCAGAGAAGACACATTTTTATTAGATTTAGGGTCCTGGGGTCTGCCCTGGGACAGACTTGAGACTATGACATTTTCTCCCCAAAGGAAAGCTTAAGGTTAACTAATGTACAAACCCCCTGAGGAGGAAGAAACAGCTGTGCCTGTAGCTGACTTGCCATATGAGTTCAAGCAGCTCTCTTTCTTGCTCCGTGCTTCACTGAAGATGTAAATGCTGGCATATTGGATCCTTTCTAGAGTCTGGTTTCGACGAAGTGGGAAGAAAGAAAAGGAATACAAGAGTGTTCCGTCTTTGTCCATGGTTAGGTCCCCTCACTGGTGGGACTATCTCACTCAGCCCTACTTGGAAGTTGTAACCAGGGAAATATGTGTGTGTATGTATCGGCATGTGTGCGTGTGTGTGCACACGCGTATGTATGTGTATGTATATGTGTGTCTCTGTTTGTGTCCATGTGCCCACAAGCTTTGAGTCAGGAAGCTCTTGTGTGGTCACTGTTTGTAAACTGGTCCCAGCAAGTCAAGGTACAGAAGGCAGTCAAGGTACAGAAGGTTGATGAGAAAGCTCTCTATGGGTGGCCCAAGGAGGAGAGTTTCCTGCTTACACAGTCTTAGAACCCGAACTTAATGAATCTCATCCCATGCCAGGCAGAGCTGAGAGTGTGACCAGTCATCTTGATAGAAGTGAAAAGCAGCCCCAGCTACTCAGGGGACTTGCCACACTGAAGGTGGGCAGAGACTGGGAGGAATCAGAGAGGCAGATGAGAGGTGAACCCACTGGGGATTCAAGCTCAAGGTGGGACCTTCCTGTGCTGGACCAGCATCTACACCACAGGGCAGGAGAAAGTGAAATGTGAGGTGGACAATGAGTAGGCACCGTTGTGGAAGCAGCTGCCCTGGCAATGCTATGGTCCCAGAAGTGGCCAGCATAGGGCCAGGGAGCCAGCTCACTCTCAGCCAAGATTTGTCTCCCCAGGAGACCTAGAACAGTGCTTCACCATTTCCTATAGTGATTCAAACATAGCTACTGTCTGTTCTCCGCACCCTACTCAGTTCTCAAGTAGAGAAACTGAGGTCTAAGATATGTGGACAGGTCAGAGCTGCCTCCTCTTGTCCTCCTCTTAGTCTCAGCTGTCCCTGGTTTTCAGTGTCCTGGCTGATAACCCAGCAAGTAGATGCACTTGCAGCCACTGGTTCCATCCAGATGTGTATAGTGGCTGCAGATGTACCTGTGGATTTGGCATCTCCAGGAATCAAGAGGCAAGTGAAGCACACAGTCCCCCTACAACTGCAGGGGGAGGTGGGGCAGAAGTACATGTACAGGCAGACAGACACGTACACTGAGGGTCCCAGAGCAGTCTTCAGGGCAAGGACAGGGCTCTGGCAAGGCGAGTCCAGAACCAGGATTTGGTACAGGGGTTGGTATAGTCGCAGACAGTGATGAACCGCAGGATGCTGGGGAATTCTTTCTTCATTGCCTTGTACTTGACAGGGATCAGTCGCTTCTGATGGGCACCTGTAAGCCAAGGGGTACAGTGCAGGCTTCAGGCCCTCGACCCACAGTGGACTGGGACCAGTCCCCAGCCCAGGGGTTAAGAACAACCCTCCCCCAACTAAACACCCCGGCACATATTCACCCACACAGAAAGATACTCATATGCACACACGCTCAGGTGTGCAGAGACCCACAGGAGTTCCTCAGTGTTGCATCCATGGCCTTTGGTGAGGGAAGGCTGGCATCCTGAGGCCCGCCCACCCACTCTTCTGTGGCAAGGGCAGGACTTAGCTTACCTGGAGAGAGGCTGAGTGCAAACTTAGTCTGGAAGTCACATTCCTTGCTTTCCAGGTAATCATCTGAGATAACCACCACCATCCGCCGGCACCTAGGGAAGAGTGGGCAGGCTGCAGGCACTGTGGCAACCCAGTTCGGCATACTCCCAAGGCACAGCCTTGGGAGGAGCCCACTGTGCTCAGGCTAGACAGGGCTCAGCTGGGAGAATCCCACCGCCTGGATCCCTGGGCAGGGCTTTGTGTACCCACCCACTCGCCCCCTTGTCACCTAGCCAACCTCTTCTCAATGAGCTCACTGGTGATAGACCAGACACATGTGCCAGGCAGGACATCACGGTCAGATACACACAACTTCAGCCGATAATTTGTCTGTTCCAGCTGCTGGATCATCTCCTGCACAAACTGGATGTCCCTGGAGCAGTAGCAGATAAAGGCATCAAATCGCTCAGGCATTTGCCCTGGGTGCAGAACACAAGGGCAGTGGTCAGAGTTCTGCAGGAAGGCTAGGGAGAAGTCCAGCCAAGAGCCCACACAGCCTAGGCAACCCTGGCCCTGAACCCTACACCAACTCTGTGATGACACTACTCAGAGCGCCTCTCCACCACACTGTACCCTGGGCCGAGCCCTGGCTTGACTATGAAACAAACACATTATTTTACGAGAGTCTCATACCCACCCAGAGGTAAGAATATTATTATTCCTAATTCTTAGGTGAGGAAACAGACTCATAGAGATTGACTTGTCTAAAGTTCTATAGTTCATCCACTTTCAATATCCATGTTCCAAATACCACTGGCCCAGAGGAGCAGTATTGGGCCCTTACCCAGGGGGTCATCAAGTGTGGTGATGCCCGCCAGCTCTGTGGTCCGTGGAACGCTGCTGTCTACAGCGGCCACCTGTAAGGGCTTCTCAGACTCCTCCTGCTGCTGCTTCAGAATGTACTTTTGGCAGTCTTCCTCTGTTGGGGAGAAACAGTGTTGCAGTTTCCCTAGGGGTGCCCCATACTTCTACCCAGAGTCAGGATCCAGCCCCTGTCCCCCGTTCCTGGCCGTCCTGTGCTCCAGGGCTTCTCCAGCCCATCGGTGCCAACCACAGTTTGACAGCTCTGAAAAGTCGAGCTCCCACCTGCCTCTGACCATCCCAAAGGGATGTCAATAGTGTTCTGGCCATCTGAGAAGCCATCGAGGTCAGTCTTGTATCTTTCTGTCCCTTTGCCCTGCCCTGCCCTGCCCTTCCTAAGGCTCCTGAGAATAGAACCCAAGGTCTCCTTCTTCTAGAATCTGGCTGGACATGCAAGAAGGGCTCAGGAGATGCAGTGGGTATAGGCCGTCAGGGCAGAGGCTCCAACCAAGCAAGGTGTGCCTGTCTGTGGGCCACTGTCCCCACGTCTATGCATGTACTTTATGTGAGTATCAGCGAGTGACAGGAAGCAGCACATTTCCCAGAGACCTGAGGTTTCCAAGACTGTCAGCTTTCAGTCCCTCAACTGCCCTATTGCTCTACCTGAAGCAACCCAGACTCCCCCACAGAGATTCTGACTCCTGGCCCTACATGAAAGCCTTTGCCTAAGCTGTTTCCTTCCATTCTCTGCTTCTCCCGGCTTTCACCTCCCTTCTCCAGTCCCTACCGTCCAGGATATTTAAAGAGAGTATTGGAGAATTGGTCCTGCACGGTTCCCCCACTGCAGGTTGCCCGCTCCCAGGAAACGAGGGCCTCCCCAGAGGAGACTGGTTGCTGAGGCCAGTGAAGGCCAGCTCCCTCATTCCCCAAGGTATGTGGCCGGAAAGGAGACGTCCTCACCGATGCTGGGCCGCAGTTCCAGGAGGACATCTTCGCGTCCTAGCTTGGCGAGCAGCTCGAGCAGTCGGCCCACCGAGGCGCCAGGGCGTCCCTGCCAGTCGTCCAGCAGCCTGCCCGTGGGGTCGGCCTGCGTCTCCAGCTGCCGGATCTCCAAGTACTCGAAGTTCATCTCCTCTGCCAGCGCGGTCCAGTCTGCCGCCACCTGCGTTCGCACATTCAGGAACAGCGACAGGCGGCGCCGCACTCGAACGTTGAGCGCAGCCAGGGGCAGTGAGGACATAGAGGGCGCAGGGGACGCGGACCCTTCGCCAGGAACTTGTGCCGCCATCGCGGGACGCCGCTGAGTTTGCGCTGCTCAGTTTGCGCCGCTGAGTCGCGTTGCTGGTCCACGCTTCCTCCTTCCCTTCCGGCACCCCCACCCTTGGCCCCGCCCCGCGGGTTTCTCTTTCCGAGAAGTACCTCCCTGCCCTTAAATCTGGAGCACCAGCAGCTGTGCGGAAGTGGAGGCTCCTGTCCTCGGGGGACAGGGAATGTGGGATGTGGGAACCGGATACCTGCCTTTTGAGATCTGGGGAGGTCCACCGACCTGTGCTCCTAGGGTCTGGTGCGACAGGGGAACGCCAACCCTCCTTTGGGGATTGTAGGGAACAGGGGCTTTGCCGGTGGATTCACATCTTTCCACTGGAGATTTGAGGGATTCGTTGGGTTCTGCCCTCGGAAGTGGTGAGGAGGTGACAAGGCGGGAGACATTGGC